TCTGTAACATGGTGCTATTTATTTACTATGTAGTTCTAACTTTTAAGTCTGTGGATGAAATCCTATGGTGTAACAATTCAAATGAAACCTCTTCAGCAGTTCTGTAACATGGTACTATTTATTTAGTATGAAGTTCTATTTTTTGAGTCTGTGGATGAAATTCTATGGTGTGACAATTCAAATGAAACCTCTTCAGCAGTACTTTCACATGGTGCTATTTACAGTTGTATTTAGTATGTAGTTCTAAACTCAACAATTATTGTTGAGTCTGTGGATGAAATCCTATGGTGTTACCATTGAAATGAAACCTCTTCAGCAGTTCTGTAACATGGTGCTATTTCTTTAGTATGAAATTCTAACTTTTGAGTTTGTGGTTGAAATCTTACAGTGTTAACATTCAATTGAAACCTCTTTGGGAGTAACTTCACAAGGTATCATATATCATGCTGTTTTCCAGTACATGTATTACAAAAATGAAATTTGGAATACTCGTCTAATTTGGACTTTGGCTACTTAGAGGATTGCTTAAAGGGTTATTAGTGTTCAACAACTGGCTTGTAAGCACACACTATTGAACAAATAACAGGTTTCAAGTACAACTACAGCTTACAAGCTGAGCCCTAGTGGGAGAGATGTCTTGTAACAACTATAATTTTGCTTGGCCAATTTTCAACTGAAGAAAACAGCACACCCTTTTATGATACAAGGTCATTAATATATACGTTAAAAGTGAAAAGAGGTGAAAAAATAAATACAAAAACAATGTTAAAAATACAATAGAGTAGCATAGATCAGCTACAGGCAGAACACAGCTTGAGAAATGATTAAAAGTATAAAAGTGTATGATAAATTTGAAGTTAAATCATTATTTAAGTAACATCAAGATAAAAAAGGGGCAACTTTGGGTTTACACAGTCGTATGACTGTACGTTTCACAGTAAGTCCTGTTCAGTAAAACCAGAACCAGTGAGTGAACATGTTAAACTAACCTTTCAGAGGTTGGATCTGTAGAATTCAGTGGGAATTTCAGTTCAATAACTTCACCTTGCTTCTCCCTCAGTTGCCCAAGATTTTCAGTGTAAAAGAGAATTAGCTCTGACAGAGTGGCAAATTTCTCTCCTCCATACAGGTCATAAAAATCTCCTGTGTTTTGAATTTTAATGTGTGTCACCTCTCCACCTCGTCTGCAAGTGAATCATTACATACATACATTACATGAGCTTTATTTTCACTCAAAGTTACAGAGTAGCTCTATGTATGTGGTCATAGAAATAAAAAATCCCCCTTTACGTTGGTATAAATAAAGTAATGTCTACGAAATATTTCATGGAAAATACAAGCTATTTATGCATGAGTAGATGCAGCAGAAATGGTACAAGTGAGCGCAGCAAAACGAGTATTGAAGATTCCAATACAAAAACAGTGAGTGTGTAAATATTAAAATTCCAAATAGATGTGTGACATTCAGAGTTTCTACATCCTCCCACAAAATGATTCGAAAAGACTTTTTTCCAAGTTTTGTATAGGGTGGGGGGAAGGAGAACTGCAAGAAAATTTCAAAAAGGTCGGATGCACTTTTTTTAAGAGGGGACCCAGAAATGACAGAAAAATATGAATACCGCATTACTGTAGGACTTTTGTCCATGATTGTAGTACTATAGCTATTGTCCTACATTCTTGTCACTGATACAGTGAAAACAAGCATGAAGAGCATTGGAGGTACAATCTGGAGGACCCAGAATCAATGCCTGACTAAACTACTAGCTAAATTTTCTTGATGGCATTCCTGAGGTTAAATCCTCTGCCACTACAGCCAGTTAGGATTTTTAACCCCCTCCAAAACATATAAATTATCTTCTTCAGTCACTAACCTATGAACTGGCATCACCCTCAAGGAAAACTGCTTAATAAAAAGCTTAGCTACTGAAAGACAAGTTAACCCCCTTCAGAAACTGTGATTGGTTGATGTAGCAACCATAATCATACTCTTTCAGCTACTGTTTACCAACAACTGACAAAAGAAAAAAGTTCACAAAGATCATACGCAAGGAGCCAAATCCACCAAGAAATACTTGTTTCCTGGGAATATAATTATTTGCTCCGTAAAACCTTTTTTAAAAAATAAAAACTCAAATAAATTTACATCTATAAGGCTCACAGTAACAGCCAATCAACAGAAAATGTCCAGACAGACTGGGGAGTTGACCTGTCAACTTTTCGTCTTACTGGTCATGTTAACCGGTCACATTCAATCGTATTGAACATGAAATAAATTAAAATTTCCATGCTGTTCAGTTGTTTCAGTTGTTATCAGTAAGTAAGGAGTAGATGTGTATTGCAGAACTTTAATCTGAAATCCTAGGTGAAATGCAATTAGAACAGTTGTTTACAATGCATGCATTGAAACAGACACTGGGGTTCACGCACTTCTAGTTTCAAAATTTAAAACCTTTTTATTTTTATTAGTTAAGCAACGACTTTTTTCAGGGCTTCTGTTAGGTCGCGGAAAAAAAGTCAAGTTTCGTGGGATTTTCAGAGACAGATTCACGGAAAAATTGGCCAATTTTGTGGGAATTTCATGGAACCTTTTGGGGCTAACTTCGCCAAAAAAAAATCGGTAAAAAATGGCAGAATATTCTAGCCAAATTTCACTAGAAATCGATCGATTTTGCATTGATTTGACAAGAGTGTTTAATGTTTTTTAACAGAGATAATCATTTGCTATTTTAACAAAAAGACGCTTGAGAAATGAGCCTATGGCAAAGCTTTTTGATCATGACTAGAGCCCAGTTTTCCACAACATAATTTACAACTGGTAGTTTTGGAACGTTGTTCACTCATTGTGGTGTTGAAGTTTACCGCAATTAAGGCAGGATAAGTTTCTATTATGTTTTATCGCCTTGTATTTGGTAAGATTTTTGACATAAATTTCTCAGGCTGGAAATATATATAACGCCAGTTTTGGTTCATGGGCCCTTAATGTTTTAAGAGTTATTTATCTTATAAATTTGACCGGCCAGAAACAATACGTGACCGATGTAAAATGAATTTGGCTTATCATCGTGAGCGGAGACTCTCTGGAAATTACTTTTAGCCCTGATCTGAAACCCGATGACTGCCAAATCAACTATGTAAACATTGATTTGGGTCATCAATATGAAATTTTTTTAGCAAAAACACAGAGGTCTTAATCACCAAACTTCCCCAGTAACAGGGAGCAATGAGAGGCGAATATGTTCGCAGGCTAACACAGCCATACAAAGGAAATAATAATTATTCTTCAATGATTTAAGGGATTGCAGTGATCAATATTGAAGGCTAGACTGAACACAATCATAATCACCACAATTGCTAACATCATAAGAAAACCAAGCTTTATATAGGTACTACACAAGAACTTTTTCTGTGGGATCCTTGTTGGAGGTGGAAAGCCAAAATGATGTCTTATTCTTATGTAACGTCTGGGTATTAAATGCAACTTTAAGAAAACAACAAATTATTAAAACAAGAAGTTAATTCACAGGGATGTCACTGAGAGCTGGCTGCCGGCTAATTTCGCCGGCTCAAAAAGAGCTTAGTCCACCAGCTCAGACTACTCTGGAAGACAGAGACATTCAGTTAAAAGGCTGGCTTGACTAATAAAAAATTTCCTTGGCTTTTCCTAAGCTACATGTACATCTCTAAATTCAAAGGCATCTAACTCAACATATTTTTGAATAATCATGACAAACAACAGACCTATTCTGTGTCTGAATACATGTACCAAATTTCAATTGTAATACAATTTCCAGTTTTATTGCCATTCAGTAGAAATGGAAATCCTGGAAACAGACTGGAAAAGCCAATAATCAATTCAAGATGAGGTCTCACACTTGAAAACAGAAAATGGTTCGATTAGAAACTACACCTGCGGGAATATTGTAATCAAAGGAAAAAAATAAACAGATGTCTTAGAACTGACGTTGTTAGCATACGATTCTTAGAACTGACATCAATGCGTAGGTGTTTTAAAGGGAAGATATTGAGGAAGATAACATAAAACGGACAAAAAAGTTAGGATTAGCGTAAGAGATTACTTGGATAATATTTTTTGTGTGCATAGTAGCTTTCCAGGAACACAATATTTTTCGGAAGTTCCCGATCGAAAAGTCGGTTCAAAATCAAACTTTCACAACGCTTACAGCACTGATCAAATTGAAACAGTGCTAAATTTACATTTTGATTATCGTCGATTAGCTTTAAAATTGATCTACCGACATCTGGTCTTAATTGCCTCTTGATGGCAATAAAATGCAAAATGAGCATACGCACATAAATGTCACTTCAGTAAATAGTTGATTTTCTATCAGCCTTCTACCTTAAAATTTGGCTTACCTCTCATGCAAATCGGCAAATGCAAGGATGGGAAAGCTCTTCAATGTTATCCAATTTTTTAAGAAAAAAATCACCCTCAGGGAAGGAAATTCTATATCGATCGTGACCAGTGACCAATTCAAGCGCCACTCTCTTCCAGCTCAACTCATCTAACCCGCTTAAACGCAACACCAAAAGCGATGGCGAAAAGAAGAAGTAAATTTTTAACCTTTTTTTTCTTAGACCACGATTGTCTTACTTATCATCCTGTTGCACTTACCTAACTGACAGCGTAAAGTCCCCAGGATTACTCTTGCTTGGTCGAACAAGATAGCTGCCATCGAAACCTCTCTCTAACAACAACTTTTCTGCATCATAACCAGAAACATTCGAGTGAAACCACCTAAAATCCAAAACAAAAAACATGTGGGTTAAAGGAATGACTTATTAGCTCCTATGTTTAACAAAATATAGGTTCATTACCTTCGCGAAGACATATTTTTCAGGATAAAAAATACGACAGAAAGAGTTTCGCTGCAGCGAAATAGATTTCATCAGGAAGTAGCTCTCCTCCCACAGGAAGCTGGAACACAGCCTCGAGTCTACGCTAGTTTCAGTCCTCTTTCGCTGAAAAAAAAAAAAACAAGATGGCGGACGAAGCTTGCAGTTCATCACGCAAAGAGAATCACGTTGATTTTCCTCCTGTTTGTCTTCTAAACACACTTGTTCGATCATTTACAAAAGAATGGCGTGGAGTTTTTGCAGCTCTTAACTCCGAGTGCTTTCCTGTTCAAGCTGCGTCTATTTGGCTACAGAAACGGATTGCCACTGAAAGCTTGTCCGACATTCCTCCAAGCTGGGAAGATTTCATGGATGATCTTGCCAAGGATTTCCCTGTGGTGTTGAATGATCAATTGTTCTTTAAACCCAAACTGCTTCTCCTTCCTTTGAATATCCAACGTAATACGCTAGCATTCATTTCATATCACGGCTGTTCTGTGCCGGCGAACTCACTGCACAAGTTAATTCACAGCTTGCGCAAATTTGAGGCGGAAATGGCTGACTGGAGGCTAACTCATTTGAAGATTTTGGAATCAAAGTTGAGAAATTTTAAAGAAACTGACCGTAGAGACTGGAAGGATGGTGAAGAATCACACCAAAAAGAAAACAAGTGTCTTTTTACTAATCTTATTACTATAGACTCTAAGACAAGATTTGAAGATCTCATAAATAAGACCAAAAAAGCGGAGTCTTCGATACACATTCCATGGTTAAATAATTTTATCAAAAATGAAGTGAAAGATGCTGATGTTAGTATTGATAAGAACATTTCAAAGGAACAAGACACCGTATCGCCTCAAAGAATCGAAAGTTGTGCTGGAGATGAAATTGACATGATTGATTTGACAGACATTTGTGATGGAAATATATGTGTAGATGTTCCATCTCACAAGACATTGCAAAAACTTCACCCAGAACCTTCTGCTCTGTCCGGTGAAAGTGATATTGAAATTATTCAAGTTTTTAATAGTCACAAAGTAAAAGTTGAACCTGAAACAATTGACATGAAAGATTTGACAGTGCCCCCTCCACCAGAATGTCTGATCATTGAAAATGAAGATGTCCTAGAACACAGTATTGAAGAAAACTTTAATTTCAGCTTTGAGAATATTCCAGGACATTCAGTCACCAAGACTGAAACTGATAGAGAACAGTCTATTACGATGAGCACTGAGAATGTTCCAGAGCTTTTGATTGAGAAAAATAATGTCTCAGCTGAGTCAAAGCTACCTGATGCTCTTCAGCTAAAAGTCACTGCTCTGAAAAACTTACTTCAGAACTTAGAGACTAATGAATTCAATTTTCATGATGAACTTGAGGTATTTTCAGCAAGTAGCCCTGAGGAGCTAAGACATATCTGTGCTCAGTTAAATCTGAAAAACCTGGAAGAATCTTTGGCAATTTCTCTGTGTCAACAGTTTGTTTCTTTGTCAAGTGAACCAAGCTTTAGTAATGCAGTTATTTTTGCTGTTCACTGTCTCTTACCTAAAATTCAACAGCTAAAGCAAACTGCTTCAAGAGTCCTATTTGCTGCAGTCAATCAGTTTGCTAAAAAACATTCAAGACCATTTTGTGATGGTGTTATTTTAACACTGGTCCAGCAATCAAATTTGGACACTCCACAAGTGGACCTCGTCAATAAAGTAATCAAAGAATGTCTCACTGAAGACACCACAGTTTATTTGATGCAGTTGATTTTCTCAGTCAAGTCAGATGTTGAAGGTTTGCCTTTTATGTGGACAGAGAGCACTGTTTCTGTTGTTCAGGTGTTAATTGATTTAAAACCAGAATTTAATGAGGATTTATTTGGAAGCTTTGTTTGTGTGTTGGAGCAACAGTCACAGCATTTGACAAAGTCACTTAAGTTTTCCAAGATGTTACTTGCTGTTATCAAGACATACGGGCAACATGTCTCTATGCACCAAAACACTTTTGTTTACATTTTGGAAGTGAATGAAACATTTCTCAAGAAAGCAGGGTTGACTGCTTTAAAAAGGTTTATAAACAGCTAAACTAGATTTGTATTTTAAAGTTTTCTTTTGCCTGATTTGTATTATGAATAAACAGCCTATCTTTTTCTTTTATGTTGATGGTGGCATCATTGCAACCCTTTAAGCCCCAGTATCAACATACAAATTCTCCTGACTGAACTCCAAACATTTCGTTAAAGAATTGATGGAAGAATTTGATAAAAGGTGATTATTTATTTTTGTTAATTAGAAATTTGTATAACCTTTTTTCTCAATGACATATGAATATAGGAAAAGTTGATATTGGTCACTGTTATTTAGGACTTAGTAAAAGGGACAAGGATGCATTTGTTTGGGAGAATACAAGATTATAATTTTGATCTCCGATTCTTTGAGAATTGAGATTAAATCAAAAATCCAAAGATGGATTCTGTAGTGTGCGCAAAATATTGGTGTGAGCGAGCGGGAAGCAACTGATGTCATATTTTCACGTGAAAACCACTCGGCAGGTGTACTTTTTTGGATGTACAAATCCTGAATATTTAGATTTGATCTGATGAAACTGTTTAGTCTGTTGATTCTTACACTTCAAAATCCATTTCTGGAGTTCACTAAATTAATGCAAAATCAGTTTGCATTTGGATTTCCTAAAGAAGTGCATTCTCATAAACTGTCACAAGCTTTTACTCCTATATTTTACGGTAGATTGCTAAGATAGTGAGCCCACAACTTCATAGTTAACTTTGGCAACAGGAGACTGGTATCCAGCGCATTGGTTGAAAATTCCATCCAGAGTTGGACCAGAATTCACATTTTAAAATGACTGAGTATGAAGGTTCTTTGAAAACCCACTTAACAGCTGGCCCATGGGGGGGAGGGAATGGTCAAGGATTTTGGGGTGTCTGAAACTTCTATTCCAGGATTTTGTTGGATAAGAGAATTTGGAAGGTATTTACTGGGGTGCCTTGATTGAAGCAGAAATTTTATGGAGGTATTCAATTCAATCTGAAGATTGGTGTAGTAGAGCTTGAGTATGCCAGCTGCATAGTTCTACCTGATTAAGTATAATCAAACTTCTTTTGTTGCTGTTTGACAATTTAATGCATTCTGGTTATTGAGTATGAGCAAGGAATTTTTTTGAGGGTGGGGGGGGGGGTAAGTTAGTGTTTAGTCTAGGGATTTCGTCGAAAGCAGTATGGATTTTTTGGCTTTTGATTTTTTGCCTATTTTATTATTTTGCACTTGTAGAATTTACATGCATATGCATCTTTCGTTTCTTCTTTAGAAAAAATTTTTCATGATCCCCCAAGAATCTTGCCCAGGGCTTACTTTCTAGCAGCAGATCTCTCAAGGACAATTTCATCTCGACATTAGTTGAAAAATAAACAGTGAGAGAGAAGAAAAAAGGGAAGAGAGAAGGGGATTGGGGATAGACGAAAAGGGACGGTGCTTCCTTTCCCTTTTCACTTTCGTATTTTTCTCAAAACGCACTTTTGAGGGGGGGAGGGTGAGGATAAGGGAGAGACAGAAAAATTGAACTGGTTGGTTATGGTCGAAATTACTATATTTCAACTATGTTTTTGCCCATCATGCTTTAGTTTCCCCACTAAAATGCTTCACCTAAATGGTCCACTTATCCCTCTAAAAATGCTTGTCCCCGCCCAGAAAGAACAAAAACGTCACGAAAATGCTGAGATAATGCTCATCATAATGGGTATGTGTTTTGTTAATTCTGAAGGTTTTTTAAAAGCACAGTTGAGGTTTTAACGCTAACAGTTCCAGTAGCCATTTTAACGCCTTTCACTTAAGGAAAGATTGATAAATGCTTTTTCAGAAAAATCAGAAAACAACTCATTTGCAGCGCAATTCTTCTTCAGAAAACGTTGAAATAACCCGAAATTTAGAAAATCTAAACAAATGTTTTAGAAAACTGGGAGCAAGAATGTGCGACCTCCGCTTGAATACATACCGCTCACTGGGATGAGCACTTACTACAGACTTAGCTCGTTCAGAGGCCTAAGTATTTCTTGACCCAGTGGAAAGGGTACATTCTTACAGCCCGTGCAGTATCGAAAAGCTCTGCCGCACTGCGCAATGAATTGACAAGAAGCAAGAGTGCAAAGCCGTTTTGTGGTGAGCCCCCTTTAAATCACCCGACGATCAGGGACGTTGAACGTTCCTTGTCGCAGCTGCTGGCTGTTGGGGTCATCAGATGTTTGCAAAGTATTCAAAAAACTTTACTAGTACTAGTAAAAATATTTTTAGCAAAAACAACTTTAACAGTGAAAGTTAAAGAAACAAATTTATTAAATTACATAATGTATACTAATAAATGGAAAAACGGGGGGAAAAGAAATGACTTTTAAGCGAGAAAATTCATTTATTAGTATTTAAATAAAATATACTAATAAATGGAAAAACGGGGAAAAAAGAAATGACTTTTTGGCGAGAAAATGCATTTATTAGTATTTAAATAATGCATAATAATGAAAGGAAAAGGCATTTTAGACAGAAAAGGAACGGACAAAACAGTTCGAAAGCAGGAGAGAAAGAAAGCTACTTTCTAGTGTTCTTTTGTCTCACTTAACAGGAGATACTTAGTGGGAGTTTCAATTGGTAATTTGCTTTTACTGTGTGATTGTGAAACCCCGGTTTTAGCCGCACGAACCCTTTACTTCCTCCTAAATTTATAATATTTTCCCTCTCTATCTTTCGTGTGTTGCAACCCCATACGAGGTAATTTAATTATTGTAACTACTCAGCTCGTTTAGTTCTTTTTGTTATTCTGTTCTTGTAAGATTTAAGTTGGCAAAATAAATTGGTTGGTTAGTTGGTTGTTGTTGTTGCTGTTATTCCGGTGGGCGGGATCTCTAGTCTACTCAGAAGAAAAGCTGTGTTTTTTTCTCAGTCACGCTCTTCGCTTCCACATTTTCACCTTCCCCGGCCCAGTCAATTTCTGTGCAGTTACGAAAAAAAAAGGAGGCCCTTTTTTTTGGTGCATTAGAGAACGGAGTTGAAAGAAATGTAAAGAGACGTTAATTGACCTCTTTTAAAATTGCGTTATTTCCATAAACGTTACCCTGTAACAACACCCACCTTTCGGAAACACCAGACAGCTTTGAATGGCCATGAATGAATTAAATATAGGCTTTACAAAATGCGCTCATCCCCATTCTTCCGTTGCCAAATCCACGACCAACAACACTGACTAGATATGAACAACAAGAGATCAGAACAATTATAAGGCAAATACCCTGCACCCATGTAATCATTAAGAACTTTTAAATATAACGGGACAACGATTGCGACCAGGAACATGGTCTGATGTCATTGGGTAACAAACCATGGAAGACAAATCAGGGCGTCAGTTAGGCTGGATTTGTAAGAAATAATTCTCTTCAGACTGATTTGATAATATTGCAAACCAGTACTGGATAAGTGGAAGAGTGCTTGGGAGTGTAGGGGATTGTTTAATTTGGAAACACCACCCTACAAATAATTTTAACGTCTACAGGACCCATAACCATGCCAACTAACTGACTAAACGTTTTTTTGCTTCTTACAAACAAACTAATGTTTTTTTTAGCTGTTCACTGACTAAGTGGCATATTTTTAGCTGTTTACTGACTACAACCATACCCCTAGCCTGCGAGAGCATCCGGTATTTTCGGCTCTATACTTTCAAAGAATGACTTGAAAATTTGTAGCGGCGGTGACAAAATGAGAAATGCTAGTAGCCATCAATGCAAGGTGAAAATGAGCGCCGGTGAACGTGAACACGTACGACATTTCCTTCGATAAACTTGTAACTAAGAAGTTTCTAGCAACGGCACCGCATCGCCAATCGCGAGGTCACGGGTTCAAATCCTTGCTTGGCCTTTTTATTCACCCTGTTTCATACAACGCGTGATGTAACTAATATCTTGTGATTAGCTATCAATGCAATAAGAAAGTATCAAGAAAAATATAATAAAAATATAGAATAATTCTTAACTCCTTGCAATTTGTCATACCCTGCTAGGAGAGTCGCTTCGATCTTTCCTAGCTAAGACTTATCTAGGAAGATCGAAGGAGACTCTGCTCCCAGGGTAAATTTGTCAAGGCCATTTCTAATGAATGTGTCTCCCTAAATTCCGGACGTTCCTTCAGACAATAGGGCCATTTATACGAGGAAAAATAAGACGCGAACTTTCCGTATAAACGGCACATTTCGTCTAAAATGAGACGCGGCTTAGCTAAGACGCGCCTTATTAGATAAGACATGCTCGTATAAATGGTACAGTTCGCGTCTTATTTAAGACGCGTCTTATGTAAGACGCGTCTTGTTTTTCCTCGTATAAATGGGCCTATTGACGTCGAGTCAAGGGATCCCTTTAAGTGCCTGACCAGTCCACATTGGGTACGAGAACATTTACGGCTTGTTTCAAGACGTTACAGTTGGTTACAAAGGATGACAGGGGGTTAAAGAGGGTTACAAGGCGTTACACGAGGTTACAGGGGGTTACAAGGGGTTACAGGGGGTTACAAGGGGTTACAAGAGGTTACAACGGGTTACAGGGGGTTACAAGGGGTTACAGAAGGTTACAAGGGGTTACAGGGGATTAAAACGGGTTACAAGGGGTCACAGCGAATTAAAAGAGGTTAAAAAGGGTAAAAGGGGGTTACAAGGGGTTACCGAAGGCTATGAGGGATTACAGGGGGTTACAAGGGGTTACAGAAGGCTACGAGGGGTTACAGGGGGTAACAAGGGGTTACAAGAGGTTAGAGAAGGTAACAAGGGGTTACAGGAGGTTACAAGGGTTACAACGGGTTACAGGGGGTTACAGGGGGTTAGAAGGGGTTACAAGAGGTAACAAGGAGTTACAGGGGATTACAGGGGGTTACAAGGGCTTACAGAAGGTTGCAAGGGGTTACAAAGAGTTCCAGGGATTACAATAGGTAACAAGGGGTTACAGGGGGTTACAAGGGGTTACAGGGAATTACAGCCGGTTAAAACGGGTTACAAAAGGTCACAGCCAGTTAAAAGAGGTTACAAAGGGTAA